TTGATCTCAATGTTCCAGTTTATGCACTGCGCAACTGGGATTTGTATCCATGGCGCATACAGAATCAAATCATAATAGCCCAAGAGCCCACTGCAAATTTTTACCGCCATCTGAAAATGAAATAAAATACACCCCAAAAGCTTGTAAAAACATTGCACTTTACCGAATGGCACCTGTGCCAATTCTAATCCTGAGCAAAGTGGTTAAAAAAAAATTATATAAAAAAATCACATAAGGCATTACGGCGCTAATTTTGTTTGCCCTTAAAGTTTTCCAGATAATAACATATTCAAATATATTTTGATATACAACAGTAACTAAGTTGGAATCATATGGAAAACTTTTTTAATATTAATTTTAGGAAAAAAGTTATTCTTCATAAAAAGTTCTGCATTATCTAAAACCTAGAATACAGTCATCAAATATCATATTTTTTTAGTGGTATACGAGGTTTGTCAAAAAATATTAGTTTTACTCAAGAGTAAAGTACATTTATTCTTTATACGACTGATAAAATTTGATATCTGATGGTTTTATTTTGGGTTCTAGACTATGCTCGACTTTTTATAATGAATAACTTTTTTCCCAATATTAATAAAAGATTTTCATATGCCGCCAATTTACGTAGACAGTTGGTGGCATATGAAAGCTTTTTTATTACTAATTTTAGGAAAAAAGTTGTTGTTTATAAAAAGTCGAGCATGGTCTGACACCTTAAATATAACCATCAAATATCAAATTTTATCAGTCGTATAAAGAAAAAAGGTACTTTATTCTTAAGTAAAACTCATATTTTTTGACAAACCTCGTAAACAACTAAAAAAATTTGATATTTGATGACTGTATTCTAGGTTTTAGATAATGCAGAACTTTTTATAAAGAATAACTTTTTTTCCTAAAATTATTAATAAAAAAGTTTTCCATATGATTCCAACTTAGGGGGACATACCGTATATCGTTAACGGAAAACATTTTCTTCCTCTTAACATTGCACAAAAACATCTACACACGATTAGTAGGTAAAAATCATTAAAAATATAAATCACTTTTAGTCCAGGGCATTTAGATCAAAATCGACCGGAATAACGGAAATTTTTAGGGACAGCAGATATCGAGATGCGGTTTTCTGCATTGTATTCAGGAAGGTCCACCAAAAAAGTCTATATCGTTCGTATATGGTTCAGCTATTTTTTGAAAAATGTCTTCTGGGCCGGAAAATGCATTTTCCAATTGCATCATTACTTGCACCATTATAGGAACGACTGGAAACTCAGAAAAATCGCTTGAAAATCATTACTCGGAGGGGTTTTCGGGCATTATCATTACCCGGAGGTGCCTTGTGGGGGTGCGCGGTGGGTGAATTGGGGGAGAAATGGCAGCGTGCATGAAAATCGCTCCAAACTCGTTACTCGGGGATGTTGAATTCAATTCTGGCAATGGAATTACCCGGGGGCGGCTCTGCGGGCGTATCCGGGGGGTTATTCTGGGAGGAAATTGCATAATCCATGGGAAGTGCTCCAGACTCGTTACTCGGGGGGTTTTCGGGGATGCCGAATTTAATTCTGGCATTAGACTTTCCCGGGGGCGATCGGGGGTGGCTCTGTGGGAAATGGTAAAGGAAAAAGTAAAAAATCACAAATTATGAAAATAGGACTTTATTCAAATAACAAATAGAAGTTTTTATTAATGTTGAATTTTTCATTATAAACTAAAATTTTTAACTTAAATACTAAACATCTTGTTCAAACTCTTCTTCTTCCCCTTCTTCATCTTCTTCCTCGTCACTATTCTCGGCCATGTTGGAAGTGCCTTTTTGGTTTGAGAAATTGCCATCGCAATGGTTGCATCTAAGTGAGCACTCCAACCCACTTCGGCGGCACCTGCACCTCGTGCCACAGTCGGTTTCACAAGAACAAGAAATTTTGCTTACAATTTCCTCGGGACTGGCTTTCTGAGTTATGGTGACAGGACTGAGCTCTCCATCCACCAATTCCCACCCCCATTCCAACGTATCTAAGCTCTCGTCTTGACCTTGTGAACCATACCAAGCCTTTACTTGGAAATAGACACGCTTGATATGCTCGGTTAACGCATTGGCAGTCGGGATTATGCGTGCAAGATCGACTTTTTTAGAATTGGTGGCTACAGCATACATTTTTGCTCGATAGCTTTGGACGAGCTCAATCGCAGGTTTATCGCTCGTGCGCACATCTTTGGGTGCTTCGTAAAGAGCCAAAGCTAGATGAAGCCTATGATCTATTAAACTATCGATGTGTTTGCTTAAATATTTCTGCAAACACATGTAAATCATCGGATTTCTCAAACAAATCGCAGAATTTTACTTTTCCTCGATAGAAAAATGCTAAGGTTGTGTCGCATCCCATGGAAGCATGTAGAAGTAATATATGAAATCTGATGTACGCGCTTCTGGATGCTAAGCTCTCGGAAGAATACACAACATCAGGTACTCTAGCGGAAGGCGGCTTCAGCAAGAACACTTCTTGATTCGGTGGAGTTCGAGCAGCAACTATTGTTAAGACGTCAGTGTCTTCCGAAACAATAACCACTTTATTGTTGCGGCTTCCAGAAGCAGTCTCAACTTGAGCACAATATCAACATCCGCATCAGCTACACTCTGCTGAGACATTATATTAGTCCGTTTCAATTCCTCCTGAATAAATTTATTGAGCTGTGACTTATTTTTGCTATTCCCTAGAAACTTGTCCTGAGTTACACTTGCGGGCAAAGTCATGACCGTCCAGGAATATGCAGCCATGCGTACGATGGCAAAATTTTTATGCATACATCCCCGTGGTAACGATACTCTACTCTCTTTAGAGCTTTGGCGCCTTTTTCAAATCCAGTTTCGAGGCACCAAAGACTTCCAAAGCAATTGTTTTTATAATATGTGTAATATTTATTTATTTAATATTCAATTAAAATTTTTATTATTCATACCCCGAGTAATTCTAATGCCAGAATTGAATTCGGCATCCCCTAAAACCCCTGAGTAACGATTTTGGAGCGATGTTCATGGATGTTGCCATTTTCCTCCAAATCAACCCCAGTCAACCCCACAGAGGGACCCCCGAGCGCCCCCGAGGAAGTTTAATGCCATAATTGAATTCGGCATCCCCGAAAACCCCCGAGTATCGATTTTGGAGTGATTTTCATAAATACTGCCATTTCCCCCAAATCACCCCCAGGCAACCCCACAGAGGGACCCCCGAGCGCCTCCGAGGAAGTCTAATGCCATAATTGAATTCGGCATCCCCGAAAACCCCCGAGTATCAATTTTGGAGTGATTTTCATGGACGCTGGCATTTCCCCCCCAATCACCCCCAGACAACCCCACAGAGCCACCAAAGAAAGCCCCTGGGAAGTCCAATGCCAGAATCGAGTTCAGCAGCCCCAAAAATGATTTTCGAGCGATTTTTCCGAGTTTCCAGTCGTTCCTATAATGGTGCAAGTAATGATGCAATTGGAAAATGCATTTTCCTGCCCAGAAGGGATTTTTCAAAAAATGGCTAAACCAGACGATATAGACTTTTTTCCTGGGACCTTGACGTTTCATTTAATTTAATTGTGGACAAAATATTGTTTAGAGATAATCTTTATACTGAATAAACAATAGTGTAACAAATTACAAACATAGCACGAAAGTATCATAGCGTGCCTTGCCGAGTAACAATGACTGCTATTTTGTTTGTTGTTGTCAGAATGTTATTTCCAGTGATTTATTTCTTGTTTCTGTAGTTTCGGCGAGTAAGATGCCACATTTAACTGAGTTAGACTCTGTTAAAATTGTTATTTTAGCCAGTGAGGGTTGCAGACAACAAGATATTGCGCAGAAATTACATATCCATCAATCAATTGTTTCTCGTATATTGAACCGATACAATAACACGGAAGAATACAAAAGACGGCCTGGTCAAATACGTAAAAACTGTACAACGCCAAGGAATGACCGATATTTGCGAATAAAATCCTTGCGAAATCGCTCACTTACCGCTTCGCGTCTAGAAAATGAATTATCTATTGGTAGATAAGTCAACGTAAGTGTTAAAACCGTTATAAGAAGACTGAAGGAGGTTGGTTTAAATCCGAAACGTCCTGCTTGCAATTTGCAATTTGCAAGAGCCCATGCTGATTGGAATGAATAACAATGGGGAAAAATTATTTTTACAGATGAAACAAGAATACAGTTGTGGAAGCTAGATGGACGTGGTCGAGTATACAGAAGGTCTGGGAATGGTTCGCAGAATGTAATCTCGTACAAAACGTTACCTTTGGTGGCGGCTCCATTATGCTTTGGGGAAGCATTAGTTGGGAGAGTCGCACGTTGAGGTAAATTTAAGAATGGATGCTGCCTGGAACATACACAATATCCCTGAAGAACATGTTTTACCTTATGCCGGCTTTATTGGGTACGATGACTTGTTGCTAATGCATGACAATGCCCGCATCCATGCCGCAAGAACATTGATCCAGTACCTTGAGGATGTCGGGATTGAGGCACTAGACTGGCCACCAAAGAGACTTGATGCTAATCTCGTAGAACATCTATGGGACACCCTAAAGCGAAACATACGTGCACGAAATCCAGCTCCTAACTCTATTTCTAGCTCTAGAACTGTAGCTCTTGTTCTAAAATACTGTTATCTTGTCGTTATTGTTAGTCTTTCCAATTAAATCTTATAACCAAAATCAGACTTTTTTATTCATTCTCCCACGAATCTATTGTAAAGCTTCAGTTTGTAATTTAGTTGGCTATAAAATATGTAAAACCATTCAGCGCAAGGGATTTAGCTTTAAAAAAATCAAAGTCTTAAAGAAAAAACAAATAAAATAAAATATGCAATATTTCTGTCTGAGTGTATAAAATTATGCATCGACAACGAGGATGCTAATGATATATGCGTAGCATTAATTAAAATCAGTGCTCTAAAGTGATTCAAACTAATTTAAGTTATATTTATTTCAATTATTGCTGAGCTTACCTGTGTATAATCTCATCATGGACAACATTGAAACACATGGCCGTTAACGCCATACCGGACATGATATATATGGAACAAAACCAAATGGTCGTGTTGGATTCGTACTGCAGAAACGGATCAGATCCGGGAACCATGTCCCCGAAACCAATGGTTGTAAGGCTCATGAAGCAGAAGTAGAAGCCATCCAGTAAGTTCCAGTCTTCTAATTTGTACAGGGTGAAAGTACCTGAGAGGACAATAATTTATATTTAAAAAATGGATGAGGAGATAATTTGTTATATTGTGTAACTAACTAGAGGGTTTTCAACAATATGTGTGTCCCACTAATGAGAAAATGCATCAAAATAATCTTTAGTAGTAAATTTTATGGCAACTGAAGCACCTGTTCTATTAAATATGTTACTGGCGTTTTTTAGAAAATCATTTTATCAACATGCTTTTATTTAATTTTTTATTTAATATTAATAAATCAATCAGTTTCTTTATAGCATATTAGTATCACAATCTTTTCTAAATTAACCATATTATTTTAAAAGTGTTTACATCCAAATATGTATTTTCTTTTTAATGGCTAATTTCGGAAGTGAATCTCAAACTGCTGTTAGAATCTGATCATATTCAATTTAAAGTTGTATTATATTTTATGTACTTTTTATCGTCACAAATTAATAATAGTTAATTATATTAAAAGGAAAAATTGCAATTGTAAAAGAAAGAGCTAAGGAAATCCCACAATAATAACCTGAGCTATTGTTGAGGATATACAAATTCACATGGAGCAAAGTTCAAAAAAATCCGCAGCTTAAACAGGTAGGGACAGTGTTTGAGAAACTGACTCTAGTACAAGCATCATTCTAAAAAATAACTTTTTATGTTTATTGGTGGGAACTAGCCATAACATACTAAAAAAACTCTGGCAGTTCACTTCTACAACTTTTGAGGTGGTAGATACCTTTTTATTAGTACTTAATAAAATGTTTTCCTTATATACAGTGCGTTAACTAGCGACGACGTATTATTATATAGCTATCTACTTAAGGAGGTCCTTTCGCCACCCATGTTAAATAAAAAATATTAGATTATGAATAAAATTAATTTTTTTCTAATAGTAGATGTCCTTATTTATCTAATAGTGAACTTTTAACTATACCTTACCGTGCAAATTTTTGAGAATTTTTTTTTTAAAAATGTGTGTGTTTGTACAGTGTCTTATAAAAAAGTAAGACTTCAACAACAATTTTCGAATTATAGTTAATTTTACTATTATTTATTGATTAGATGGAGTAGAAAAAAATTAAAAATAAGGTTTTTGAAATATTTAGGTTTTGTTTTTTACAATAAAATATATAGGTTACCGTGGAATTTATTGAGAAATTATTATTAAAAAATCACAAAAAAATTTCAACTAGGTTACTTGAACATTTTTTGTGATTTTTACTTTCCTATCTGTATACAGATATAAGGAAAGTATAGGAATCATGATTTTTTTCGACCTCGAGTTTTTGACGGATTTTTACGTTTTGAGGTCCCCTGAATCCATTTTGACTATTTTCGCGATGATGTCTGTGTGTGTGTGTGTGTGTGTGTGTGTGTGTGTGTGTGTGTGTGTGTGTGTGTGTGTGTGTGTGTGTGTGTGTGTGTGTGTGTGTGTGTGTGTGTGTGTGTGTGTGTGTGTGTGTGTGTCTGTGTGTGTGTGTGTGTCTGTATAACGCATAACTCATGAACCGATACACATAAAAACACCAAATTTTAAACTTAAGCTTTGTTTTAGCGTCCAATGAGCTGATTAGATTTTGGGCAGAGTCGGAACATCTGGGGGGGTACTTTATATGTGGTCATTTTTATATTTTATGGAATATATTCGTTATTTACGTTTGGAGAAGAAAATTCTTCAAATAAAAGTTACTTACAATATTATTATCTATAATTTTTGTTCTATATAAAATTTTCCTAAAATGGTCCGTATTCGAGAAATTTGACAAAATGTAAAAAAAATATTTTTTTATAAAAATTGTTCAAATAAAAGTTGTTTGTAATATAATTCTCTATAATTTTTATTCTATACATAATTTCTCTAAAATGGACCGTATTCGAGATATTTGAGAAAATGTGTAAATTTCGAAATTTGAAGAAAACTCAAAAACGGATAAAGGAAAAAACATTAAATTTTAAACTTAAGGTTTATTTCGGTCTGACGTGAAATTATTAGATTTTGGACAAAGTCGGAACATCTGGGGGGTACTTTATGGGAGGCCGTTTTTATATATTATGGAATATATCTGTTATTTATGTTTGGAGAAAAAAATTGTTCACATAAAAGTTACTTCTAATATTATTATCTATATTTTTTGCTTTATGTAAAAATTTCCTGAAATGGTCCGTATTCGTAAAATTTGACAAAATGTGCAAAATTCTGATTTTTATGAAAATTGTTGAAATAAAAGTTGTTTGCGATATCGATCTCTATAATATTTGTTCAAACATGATTTTTTTAAAATGGACCGTAATGGAAAAATTGTAGGAAAAGTACTAAATTTAAATTTTTCAGTATTTTCATTTTCAATGAATATCTATAGAAAAATGTTTCGCGGTAGATGTGGACAATGTATATATTTAGTTTATCCTCTAAACATTTATAGAGATGCTGCAATAGGTTGTACAAAATAACCGGAAAAAGCCTGTAATAACTAGATAGGAAAGTCATGTGTTGGACACATCAGATTTTTTAATATTAATTTCTCAATAAGTTCCACGGTTTACTATATATATTTTATTGTATAAAACAAAATCAAAATATTTCAAAAACCTTATTTTTAGTTTTTTTCTACTCCATCTAATCAATAAATAATAGTATAATTCGAGAATTGTTGTTGAGGACTTACTTTCTCGTGAGGCACTGTACAAATACTCAAATTTAAAAAAAAAAATTCTCAAAAATTTGCAAGGTAAGGTATAGTTAAAAGTTCAGTATTAGATAAATAAGGACTTCAACTATTAGAAAAAAATTAATTTTAGTCATAATCTAATAACTTTTTTTTTAACATTTGAGGCGAGAGGTGTGGCGAAAGGACCTCCTTAAGAGCATTGTGTTTCTATAGTTCTCTTTTGGAGCCAGGATTAAAAAGTTAACGTATTGTATGTATAACATGTTATTGATAAAAGTTTTACTAATTAAATGTAAATAATAAAACAGGCTAAAATATTAAATTTTTATTGCTTCCATTAACAAGATACAATTCGATAGCTCTTTTAAAACTGGTTTATAATTTTTAATAGATTGTTATTTAAACTTTGGTTAACTTTTATAAGATATTCATAAATGCGTTTAATCGTTATCATTAGACATAACGTATACAATATATATTACTGTGTTACTGTATTATGGTATTACTGTATTGCTGTATAACTGTAAAACTATATAACTGAATTGTTGCATTGCTGTATTTCTGTATTGCTCTATTGCTTTATTACTGAATTACTGTATTTATTACTGTATTACTGTATTTATTACTGTATTACTGTATTTATTACTGTATTACTGTATTACTGTATTACTGTATTTATTACTGTATTACTGTATTACTGTATTACTGTATTACTGTATTACTGTATTACTGTATTACTGTATTACTGTATTACTGTATTACTGTATTACTGTATTACTGTATTACTGTATTACTGTATTACTGTATTACTGTATTACTGTATTACTGTATTACTGTATTACTGTATTACTGTATTACTGTATTACTGTATTACTGTATTACTGTATTACTGTATTACTGTATTACTGTATTACTGTATTACTGTATAACTGTATTACTGTATTACTGTAATACTGTATTACTGTATTACTGTATTACTGTATTACTGTATTACTGTATTACTGTATTACTGTATTACTGTATTACTGTATTACTGTATTACTGTATTACTGTATTACTGTATTACTGTATTACTGTATTACTGTATTACTGTATTACTGTATTACTACATTACTGTATTACTGTATTACTGTATTACTACATTACTGTATTACTGTATTACTGTATTACTGTATTACTGTATTACTGTATTACTGTATTACTGTATTACTGTATTACTGTATTACTGTATTACTGTATTACTGTATTACTGTATTACTGTATTACTACATTACTGTATTACTGTATTACTGTATTACTGTATTACTGTATTACTGTATTACTGTATTACTGTATTACTGTATTACTGTATTACTGTATTACTGTATTACTGTATTACTGTATTACTGTATTACTGTATTACTGTATTACTGTATTACTGTATTACTGTATTACTGTATTACTGTATTACTGTATTACTGTATTACTGTATTACTGTATTACTGTATTACTGTATTACTGTATTACTGTATTACTGTATTACTGTATTACTGTATTACTGTATTACTGTATTACTGTATTACTGTATTACTGTATTACTGTATTACTGTATTACTGTATTACTGTATTACTGTATTACTGTATTACTGTATTACTGTATTACTGTATTACTGTATTACTGTATTACTGTATTACTGTATTACTGTATTACTGTATTACTGTATTACTGTATTACTGTATTACTGTATTACTGTATTACTGTATTACTGTATTACTGTATTACTGTATTACTGTATTACTGTATTACTGTATTACTGTATTACTGTATTACTGTATTACTGTATTACTGTATTACTGTATTACTGTATTACTGTATTACTGTATTACTGTATTACTGTATTACTGTATTACTGTATTACTGTATTACTGTATTACTGTATTACTGTATTACTGTATTACTGTATTACTGTATTACTGTATTACTGTATTACTGTATTACTGTATTACTGTATTACTGTATTACTGTATTACTGTATTACTGTATTACTGTATTACTGTATTACTGTATTACTGTATTACTGTATTACTGTATTACTGTATTACTGTATTACTGTATTACTGTATTACTGTATTACTGTATTACTGTATTACTGTATTACTGTATTACTGTATTACTGTATTACTGTATTACTGTATTACTGTATTACTGTATTACTGTATTACTGTATTACTGTATTACTGTATTACTGTATTACTGTATTACTGTATTACTGTATTACTGTATTACTGTATTACTGTATTACTGTATTACTGTATTACTGTATTACTGTATTACTGTATTACTGTATTACTGTATTACTGTATTACTGTATTACTGTATTACTGTATTACTGTATTACTGTATTACTGTGACGAAAACCAATTAAAATATTGAATTGAAATCTAATATAAATATATTAAACAACTTTATTTTATATTAGCTTTTTTGTTATATTAGTTTAACATTTAACTGTCTTTTGTATAAAAATGTCTACACGCTTGGCTCATATCTAATGATTTACTATTTTATTCTTTGCCAATTTGGTCGCGTAGGATAGAGACATTGTTGGATACCATGCATATTTTTATCTAATTGTATTTTATTGTAGGTACTTACCGATGCATATGTAAATAAACATCATGCAAAGGCATAACAGAATGGGCGCAAGTATCGACCATCCATGCATGGACGATTTAGACTCGTTGTCGGTCCCACTCAAGCTATCTAGCTCTTTTACGGGACCGTCTCTGCAAGGGGAATGCAAATTGTTGCTGTAGTTGGAATTTGAACGGACGTAAAAGGGTTCTTGAATACCTAGAAACGTTAAAGCAATTAGTTCATTTAAAATACATTAAACGATTTAAACGTATTATGAGCTAAATGTTTTGAAATGAGAAACATAAAAAGTGGAAGAAGTATTCAGGCTTGAGTGCATAAAATAAAATAGGTATCCTAATATTTAAGACTCATCTCTTTCATTACTATTTGTAGCCTACCGAGTTGTTGCTGCAACTCCAATTGCTGTCTCTTTCTTTTCATTTTTTTCTCCTTTTCTGCCATCCTTTTTTCGTCGTAACAGCAGTATCCGCAGTTTGAGCAAAGACAACAACATAACGCTCTGGAGAATACTCCTCTGGCTACTCTGCTCAAAATGGAGCCCACACTGGAGAGATAGAGTAGCGTTAACGGAATGCCTATCATTGCGTAACCCATCGTTACAGCTTTGCCTAAGGAAGTTCTTGGAGCGATGCTTCCATAACCTGAAACAAAATATTATACATGACTTACAGTATATAAAATAGTATTAGATTGGAATCTGTAGCATTGCAGTGTTCACAAAACTTTCATTACTATACCACTAAAAATTTTTTATGACGATTACGAGTAATAAAGTTATACATAGCATAAATGTGGGCTAGCCGCAAAGGAAAAGCAGAGGAATAAAAGGAAAATCAGAGAAAGAAACGGAAAAAAGGAAGTGTAACTAGTTTTGGTCGATAAGCATCATCAAGTCTGTGAAAAAAAAGGTGGGTCACTCAGTGGTTAAAGTCTGGACTTGCCAGAATGTTTTTATTTAATTTATTTAATAATTATATTAATACATAGATAGGATTCCCTACTCCAACCATTGACTGTTGAATTATCAACAGTAAAAAACCTATACCGAATACACATTCATATAGATAAATCAATATCACACACACTAAAATCGGCTAATTTGGTGTGGTTAGATACCACCAAATGATTGGGATGGGTTTTTTTTTGATTGGCATTTGTTTTTTTTTAGGATTTTGGAAATTAGATTTAGATTGTCGATTTAGGATTTGTTAATTTATGTTATTTTATAAAGATGCTACATGTATTTACATGACTGAAATAAATAAGAGAAGAACAGTAAGAGAAGACCATACAAAAGAACAGTAGACATAAGAGCTGGGTAGCTATTCTTGAATTCGATTAAAAAACCATTGTTTCCTCTTTATTTGCAACGCAAAAAATTTGTATTTTTGTCTCATTCTTCCCTTAAACTTTCTACTCCCTAAGATTCAAGAATAGATTCCTAGAAGGTAGACAAAACGTGGAGACTCGAAAAATTATAAATCGGCAACCAACATGGGGCAGAAACAGTGACGAAAGCAGGAAAGCAAGAATTCAAGGAATGGTAATAAAATTTTTCTTATTACTGTAATACACTGATCTTTGTGTGTTTGTGGTATTTTTTGGCGTAATTTGAAAAAGTGGTGAGAAATAAAATATTAAAATTAAGAAGTAAAATGAGGTTGGAAACAGAAGACTAAGCAGAGTAAAAAGAAAATGAATGTAATAGACATTGTAACGGTTGGAACCGTTATTTCGACACAACTACCTCTTACTCAAATGTCATTTGTCGTCTTGTGAGATTTATTTTTGATTTGGTCGACAGCGATAATCAATTAGATTTTATTTTAAATTATTTTGGTCATCCGATGTACTAAATGATTTTTGTTTATTGTAGAATCCGTCTGATTTTCTAAGGTAAGTTTTAGTAATGATATATTGTTGAAAATATATATTTTGTACAAGAATTTCTTAAATAAATTGTCAAGTTTGAACATAATCTCAATATAAACAATGGATAACACATGGTTAATTTATATATTATTTTTTTGGAATAAGATATTATGTTTTACTATGTTTAAATATATTAAATAAGATTTTTCATTTTCATATTAATTGTCTCTGTGAAATTATTCATTTAATAGTTTTTAATTGTTCATTTAATAGTTAAAGCATTTTATCTAGATCCTGTTCAGATTTCCCATTTCCAATCTTAATATTTTAACCCTTTTTTAGCATGGCTATATCTAGACGGTTTTGGTTCAATCTGAAGACAACTGTTTGATTCATCTCTAGATGTGATTTGGATTTATCTCTAGACGTTTTTTTGGATTTATCTCTAGACGTTATTTTTGGTTTAATCTCTAGAAAGTTTTGGTTACATCTCAAGAAGGTTTTGGTTCAATCTCTAGACGGTTTTGATCTCATCTCTAGGCTGTTCAAATACTAAAGATTATTTACAGTGCAGCATTACGAATAAGGTTCCCGAATCCCTTGTAGAAGTTGTCTGAAGAAATACCATGTTATAGATGTACATTCCGTATGTATATTACCTTGCTTACCAAAAGATAAGGGCTTTTCAATAAATTTATTTATTATTTATTTATTTTATTTATTTATATTTACATTTCCATAAGACAATATTAATTGTATTGGAATATAGTCATAAAAATAAACTACATATATGTATACCTATAGCTGAATGATAAAATAAGAAAAACAAAATTTATTAAAGATATTCAAAAAGCAAAAATTTATCGAGTGTATAAAAAGCATTATTTACCAGGAAGTTTTTAAGATGACTTTTAAATTGCTCAATACTTCTACATGTCTTTATGATTTGAGGTAATTTTTTATAAATTCTTGGACCTATATAATTTGGCGAACAATATAGTCCGTCAGATAGTGACAGGTTTAGGTGCCCCATTTTCGCATACAAGCCTCAAAGAGGGTTGAATAGTACTTCGATTTTAAGTAGAATAAAAGGAAATTTACTAGTGGGATAACACATGGAAAATTCGATTTTCCTTAACAAAAATGAAAGGTTATTTGTTGCCCATTTTTCCACTCAAGCCGTTTTCACTATATGATTAATTAATAGAACTAGGCTTCAGAAAACCAAAGGATTTAATGTTGCAAGTGGCTAAAGGTTTGAAATAAGGGCGTAATCTTCTGAGGAAAAATCGAGATTTTGCACGATTTTTCCACACAAGCCCATGGAATGTATGAAAACGAACGTCGTCACTAGTCCGAAAAACATATTTTCTTAAATGACCCGAATGTATAAGTACAATTTGAGGTCGGAAAATTTTTCTGATAAGTAAAATCAAATTTTCCATGTGTTATCCCCAAGAGCCACTCCTAAATTTTCTTTTATTCTACTCAACATCGATGAACTTTTCAACCCTCTTCGAGACTTGTATGCGAAAATGGGGCACCAAAATCGGTCACTATCTGACGGTCTAATAGGTTACTTTCCCCCTGGCTAGCGGCAAATAAAGAAGATGGTTTTTTCTCGTTGGATAACTGTGATACTTATTATTGTAGAAAAATTTATTTAAATTTTTACGAACGAAGACACACAGTTCAAAAATATAAATTGAAGTCTTAGAATTTTTTTTTTTTAAGTATTTGTTACACGATGTACGACTACGAATATTCTCAATGTAGCGTACAATGTTTTTTGCACTATGAAAATAGGATACAGTTGTGGCATTACCCCAGAGACAGACACCAAAACGTAAGCTGGGGTCGACTTGTGCATAATATAACGCTAATAAGTTGCGTTTTTTCAAGAACGTTCCTCAAATTAAGGAAAAGAAACTTCATTGAGTTTAATTTAGAGATTAACTTCTCACAATGGTGTTTCCAGTTAAGATTTTCATCTAATAAAATGCCTAAAAATTTAACGCTACTGGCTGTTCGTCAATAATGACTTATTAACTGAAAAATATATATCATTAACTTTATTTTGCACGTTGTGTAGCCTAAGAATTTCGGTTTTTTCGCTATTAAAAAATAAGCAACTACTGTTAGAAAATGTACTTGAATTAGTTAAAATCAGTTCACATTTTGTCTCAAGAATTTCAATAGATTTATCAGAAACAATTATAGAAAAGTCATCGGCATAGGCTGTATAAGAATTATTTTCCATAATTGAATCAATATGGTTAACATATAGGAGGAATAGTATTGGACCTAAAATTGATCCCTGTGGCACACCCATCTGAACTGACAAGTGATCTGAATTAAAATTTTTGCATTGATCTTTACTGGTGGATTTTATGGATACAAACTGAGACCTGCCTTTTAGAAATAAAGCTATCCAAGAATAAGGCCTGCCTCTTGCTCCTATGTTCTCTAATCTGGACAATAAAATATCGTGATTCACACAGTCAAATGCTCTGCTAAGGTCACAAAAAATAACAGCAGGGCATTTACCCTTATCAACGTGTTCAATAATTTTTTCGTAAAAGACAAACAAAGCAGTGGTAGTAGACATAGAAGATCTAAAATTATGTTGGTTACCACTGACAACCTGAAAATTATTTAAAAATGACATTAATCTGTCGAGGAATGCATACTCAAATATTTTAGAAAAGCTATTTGATATCGTAACTGGTCTGTAATTGTTAATATATTTTGGATCATTTTTCTTAAAGACAGGAATCAGTTTACCTGTTTAAATAATTTGCGGAAAACTAGCCTGCACAAACGATTTATTTATTAGAAAAGTAATTGCAGATATAATTAAAGTAAGGACTCTTTTTAATGAGGAAACAAGGAACATCGTCACTTCTTACCGATTTTTTGTTTTTTATTTTTTTATTAAGCAGATTACACAATTCATCTTCACTGAAGGAAAAATGAAAAAGACTTTGTATTAAAATCCATGCATGTTTCAATAGTAGGTACTGAAGATTTTTTTATTAAGCAGATTACACAATTCATCTTCACTGAAGGGAAAATGAAAAAGACTGTATTAAAATCCATGTATGTTTCAATAGTAGGTACTGAAGGTATATTTTGTACCATGTTAACCGGCTCATTGACAACAAAATTATTAAACTCTTTTACAACATTTTCAGGAGCGTCTATAACACCACCGTTACCCTGAATAATTATATTTTTATTTTTTCTTGTTTGATTAGAAAGTTCCTTGACTACATTCCAGGACACTCGAGTAATGTTATCAGAAGAGTTAATACGATTTTGATAAAAAGATTTTTTTAGAAGTCATTAAACTTTTATGCAATTTTTGGTTTCATTGTAAGTAAAAGATGAACAAAGATTTGATTTCTTTAGGAAAAATAAATATTTTAAATTTTGACTCGAAGAAAAGCTGATTTAAAATGGAATAAAAAATTATTGTAAAAGTAATTAAATGCTTCATCAAAATCGTCAATTTGATAAAGAAATGTCCAGCCAATATTTTGAATTTGATTGAAAAATTTGTTGATATTAATCTCACTGAAGTTTCTTTTCACAACGACAAAAATTCAACCATAACCGTTCTATGGTCAGAAAATTGATTATCGACAACACAGCAAGTGCTTTCCTCGTCCGAACTAACAAAAATTTGGTCAATAATGGTACAGGTAGTATCCGTCACTCGAATAGGCCATTTAACAATAGGTACAAGATTGAATCCAGACATTTTTCA